CTTCAAGTTCTGTGCAAAAACGCATGATCGCACGGGCCCGCCCGGTGCGTTCCAGCCTGGGTTTTTGTGAATCACGTGCACCACTTTCTAACAAGAACACTAAATTGTTCAAAATAATGCCCTTGCTGTTACTGAGGTGTAGAAATAAAGCCAAAGCAGTCCTTTTCTTTTTTGCGTCTGATATCTTGGTTTTCATTTTCTGAATGGCCTTAAATGTCTTCTGCAATAAATCATATTTCTTCTAATTTCTCTTTACCAGAACTGCGCTGGCAAGCAAATTTCTGTTAATCATATTTCTTCCACTTCTCTTTACCGGAGCAGCATATTGGAAGACAACTGCGATTAATGGTTCTTGCGTTTGCAAGAGACAAGCGAATTCTAGTTATATCTTGTTTGCACATATCTGTCTATCAAGAAGTTTCAGCTTTAGCTTTATCTGATAACTAAATGCTTTATTGTATCAGAAAGAGAGGGTAAAATTTGCCGTATAGAACAAATCAGTTGCTTTGGCAAAAGCCACTGGAAATCAAGCATTATTAAAGTAAAATTTAAGAGAAAGAAAATGATTTTGACTTTAATTGGCGAGGAATTGCGTACGCATAGTGAAAACCACGTATGAAAATGTAGTGAGCAAATGTGGTCAGTTGTTCTGATAAAATTTCACTTCGCCTGTCTCCAGAGCTTTGAAGAAACAAAATGACGGCTTTCAACTCTGGTTAATCATTGCAGTCTTGATTTCCTGCTTCAATAAAGCCAAAAGCATCAGTGTTTTAAATATTGATAAACCATAAAATGCAACAAATATGCGCACTTTTTTTCATCCACTTTTAAATGCATAGCATGTATTATGCCGACTGGATGCTTCGCAGTATTCCGTTGTATGTGTGATGTAGTTGAAATCACCTTTCGAACAGATCACATTGTATTTTCCAAGAAGCTTACTTTCCGCAGCACGCTGTATTGCTCGTTTTGTGCGCGCTGGATCTTTTTTCATATTCTGCAACAAGGAAATGGTGAACAGAAAATCTTTTATAGCTTCCGGTTATGAATGGGATAAGGGGCGCTCTCCAGTTTTAGGGTAAATGGCTGGTTGCTTTTTTTCAAGTACCTTTAAGCAGGATGTTTTGCTCGCGTTGCTGACACCTGGTGGACGAGCAGCAAATAACATATCCTGCTTAACGAATTTCTGTGGTCATAACAACACGCCACTATTCTAGCTAATTTTTGATCATAAAAAAACCTCCTAAGCATTTTTTGTTCCACTCAGTCAAAAAATACCGAACTTTGTGGCAGGCCTTCTTTCCAATCCCAGGCGTCCAAAAGGTCTCTTCTTACCCAAAAGGCAATGATTATGCTTTATGTAAACAACTTAGTTTGGCTGTGTGAGTATCAGGATTCCTCTATAGTGCAGCTGTTTAAACACGCATGTCGCACATGTATCGAATAACAAGACTAATTTGGTTCAATTATGTAGGAATAATAAAGCCTCTTGTGAGTGCGAGTAACACTCAAATAAAAACCATGTGATGTGAATTAATAGATTATATGGCAGGCATAAGGCTGAATATGTGAACTGGCAGAAAAATTTTGTCTACCGGAACTGTTTCAAAACAAAAATTACAGTATATAACTTGGTCGCTGAATCAGTTAATCAACTTAGCTCCCTTGTTTTATTTAAAAATGGTTGACAGGACACAAATCTATCACGCACTGAAACATCTACCATAAAACATAAATCCATAAATGCTAATAATTTCTTTTGGCTATAGGATGTTTTTTATGCGCTTTTGCATTAACTAACAAAATGCGAAAGTGCATGTTTCTCAAGAGGCTGAAAATGTGTGTGTGT